AGGGTGTCCTTCCAGGTGTGCATCAAGAAGGCCAGACGGAGCTGACGAGCTGCAGGGAAACAAACACCATGAGTGTGTGTTACACCATGAGTGTGTGTTACACCATGAATGTGTGTGTGACAGCAGTGTGTGTTACACCATGAGTGTGATACAGCAGTGTGTGTGTGTTACAGCAGAGTGTGTGTGTTACAGCAGAGTGTGTGTGTTACAGCAGAGTGTGTGTGTGACAGCAGAGTGTGTGTGACAGCAGTGTGTGTGTGACAGCAGAGTGTGTGTCAGGACTCTGATCAGCTGGTTTGTGTCTCACAACCAAACACAATAAAAACACAACAAAGAGCAACGTCACAAACAGTGAGAGCTGAAGCCTGTCCACACCTTCATCCTCCTCTTCCTCTTTACAGTCTGGATCAAACCAAACTGATCTCAGATTGTTGGACTTTGTCCAGTCCAGCATCTAAYAACCCTTAAACCTACAGTGTGACTCAAGTTACTTTAAATTTAGCTGCGCAGGAAGGAGGTTACCTGTGCACACAGGTGAAATGACACGATCGCTCATCCTTCATGGTGGCGCCTGATAATTTATCAGTATGTCTGCTGTGCAACCAGTGGTTGCTACATCCTTGTAGCAGGAGGCTAGATCTGTTCCTARASCAGCAGCTGCCTCAGTAACAGAGAGGACGGTGCTGGCAAATGAGAAGGAGACTATTTATTAGCGTTAGCATTGGAGAGGCTAGTGATTAGCATGGATAAGCTGGCATTAGCATCAGAGTGGCTAATGACTAGCATGGATAAGCTGGAGTTAGGCTAGTGACTAGCATAGATAAGCTGGAGTTAGGCTCGTGACTAGCATAGATAAGCTGGAGTTAGGCTAGTGACTAGCATGGATAAGCTGACGTTAGCATTGTAGAAGCTAGAGACTAGCAAGGATAAGATGGTGTTAGGCAACAAGTGTTTTTTATTTCTCTTCAGTCGAAATATGAGAAAAGTCAAAACTATCAAGTTGGGGCTTTTTAGAGAAAGTTTAGTTTATAGAGAAAGTTTTCTTTATTCAAAAAAGTTTGTGTCTAATAAATTAGATGAGCAGCCTAGGCATGCTAGTCACTAGCCTCTTTGATGCTAACACTAGCTTATCCATGCTAGTCACTAGCCTCTTCGATGCTAACACTAGCTTATCCATGCTAGTCA